CTATCATCCAGCCACCCCATCCCTCCCACCCCCACCACTCCAGCAACCCTCAGTTTGTTTCCTGAGATTAAGAATTCCTCTTATCAGTGAGCTCATATGATACATGTCTTTCTCTGATTGACTTATTTCGCTCAGCATAACACACTCCAGTTCCATCTACATCATTGCAAATGACAAGATTTCATTCCTTTTGATGGCTGCATAATATTCCATTGTGTGTATATATACCACATCTTCTTTATCCATTCATTTGTCAATGGACATCTTGGTTCTTTCCATAGTTTGGCTATTGTGGACATTGCTGCTATAAACATCAGGGTGTATGTACCCCTTTGGATCCCTACATTTGTATCTTTGGGGTAAATACCCAGTAGTGCAACTGTGGGGTCATATGGTAGCTCTGTTTTCAACTTTTTGAGGAACCTCCATACTGTTTTCCAGAGTGGCTGCACCAGCTTGTATTCCCACCAACAGTGTAGGAGGGTTCCCCTTTCTCTGCATCCCTGCCAATATCTGTCATTTCCTGACTTGTTAATTTTAACCATTCTGACTGGTGTGAGGTGGTATCTCATTGAGGTTTTGATTTGGATTTCCCTGATGCCGAGTGATGTTGAGCACTTTTTCATGTGTCTGTTGGCCATTTGGAGGTCTTCTTTGGAAAAATGTCTATTCATGCCTTCTGCCCATTTCTTGATTGGATCATTTGTTCTTTGGGTGTTCAGTTTGATAGGTTCTTTATACATTCTCCAGTCCCTCACTTTCAATCTGGAGGTGTCTTTCTTTGGGTCTAAAATAAGTCTTTTGTAGAGAGCATTTCAGTGGATCTTGTTTTTTATCCATTCTGATACTCTATGTCTTCTGATTAAAGAACTGCATCCATTTATATTCAAAGTTATTATTGATGAATTTAGTGTCATTGTATTACCTGTAAAGTCACTGTTCCTGTAGATTGTCTCTGTTCCTTTCTAGTTTTTTTGATTTTGGTCTCTCTTTCCTGCTCAGAGGGTGCCCTTTAATATTTCTTGCAGAGCTGGTTTAGTGTTCACAAACTGATTTAGTTTTTGTTTGTCTCTCCTTCTATTCTGAATGACAGCCTTGCTGGATAAAGTATTATTGGCTTCATATTTTTCCCACATAGCATGTTGAAATATTATCGTACTGCTTTCTGGCCTGCCAAGTTACTGTGGACAGGTCTGCAGTTAACCTTATGTGTCTACCCTTGTAGGTTAAGGACCTTTTGTCTTTAGCTGCTTTCAGAATTCTCTCTTGGTCTTTGTATTTTGCAAGTTTCACTATAATACGTCTTGGTGTTGACCTACTTTTGTTGATTTTGTTGAATAAAAAGTTCTCCATGTCTCGTGGACTTGAATGCCTGTTTCCTTCCCCAGATTAGGGAAGTTCTCAGCTATAAATAATTTATTCAAATAAATTGTCTACCCCTCTTTCCTGCTCTTCTTCTGGGACTCCTATGAAATATGGATATTATTGTACTTTGTGGAATCGCTTAGTTCTCTAAGTCTATATTCATGATTAAATAGTTTCCTTTCCCTCTTCTTTTCAGCTTTATTGTCCATAATTGTACCTTCTATATCACCTATTCAATCCTCTGCTACTTCCATCCTCATTGTGATTAAATCCATTCCGTTTGGCATCTCAGTTATAGCCTTTTTTTTGGCCTGACTAGTTTTTACGCCTTTTATCTCTGTAGCCAGTGTTTCTCTGATGTCTTCTATGCTTCTTTCAACCCCAGCTAGTAGTCTTATCACTGTTGTTCTAAATTCTTGTTCAGATAGATTGCTTTTATTTGTTTTGAGCAAATCTTTGGCTATGATTTCTTCTTTTGGGGGGAATTCCTCTGTGTTGTCATTTTGTCTAGGTTTTTGTCTTTTGTGTATTATGAAAGCTTGCTATGTTTACTGCTCCTGAGAGTAATACTATATTAAGAAGGGATAGTACACTGTCCAGGGCCTGGCACTTCAGGAAATGTTTCTGGTATATGCTGTGTACACTCTGCTGTTGTATTTTGGCTGCTCTTTCCCACAAATCAGTCCTCTGCAGAGTTCCTCCTTGCTTGCAGTGAGGAGTGTTTGGACTTTTAACTAGGTGTGGTTTAATTTGTTTGTCAAGATAAGCCTGATTTAAAAAAAAAGCATATACAAGAAAAGAGAAAAGGAAAAGGAACAAAAAGGCGAACAGAAAAACAAAACTATAAGCATGATTCCAAAGAAAAAAAAAAAGGAAAAAAAAATGCCTAATCCAGAAAATGAAAAATGAAACAAATAAACCAACTAATGCACAAAAAGCTATAAACCTGATTCTAAAGAAAAAAGAAAAAAATAGCAGTGAAATGAAATAAAGTAAATGAAATAAAATTAAATAAATAAAATTTAAAAAAAAATGAAAGCTGAGTCCTATTTCCATCAGAACTGAAGCTCCCACTTTGGAACACTCTATGATCAGTAGACTTGGTGCATGCAGGATGCCTGTGCTCATCTTCTGGAGGAGAGGCCTGCTGCACTGGCTGGGCTCACAGTCAGATCAGCCTTGGAAAGATATCCTTGCTGAGTGAGGGGGCGGGGTTTGGTGTAAGTGGCTCCAGCCTCCACTGGAGATGCTGTGTTTTTCTCTGAAGTTCAAGTGTGCTGGTGGGCAGGGGTGGGGATTGTTGAAGATGACATCACACCACCCTCTCCTCCCTGGTGAAGGGAACTCATGACTGCTGCTGTTCAGAAGGCCTTCACAGAAAAGTGAACAATCTTCTCTCCTATGTCCCAAGCTTTCATCAATTCCCTGCCCTCAACCTGTTTGTGCCTGGACAGTCTGCCCACCTGGAGCCACGGTTATTCTGTGCTTTATTTTTGGCTGAGGGCTGGGATTCAAAACTCCAAATCTTAAAGGACTTGGCAAGGTGTGGACCCACTCCCCTCCCTTGGAAGAGATCCTTGCAGCACTATACCTGGCACCATTCTGTCCCAGAAAAGCAGTCACCTGCCTGTGCAGGTGCCCAGAGTCTATGGTGAAGCACAGAGAAAAGCTGCAACCAGGTTATCTGCCTTCTGTGCTCACTTCTGTCTCCTGCTGCTGAACAGCCACTCAGTAGCATCCAGTGGGCCTTTTGTCCTTGGAGAAGCAGCATACTTTCTTCCAAATGTGCTCCAGTTCTCTCCCAGTGTGACTCAGGGAATCCCCACACCACAGTGTCTTATGGGAACCCTACACACTATTTCTCTCCCACTCTTTCCTTGACTTCTCTCCTTGAAAAGGGCTCCCTCCCCTCTGTGGCACCACAGCTTTTCTTTTCCCCAATTCTGGTCTCTGAACCTTGCATCTGTCACACTCTCTCCCTCCAATTGTGCAGATTGTTTTCTTAATCCTCAGATTGATTTCCTAGTTATTCAAAATGATTTGATGTTGATCTAGTTATGTTCGAGGGACAAGGCAAGGCCAGACTCCCCCTACTACTCCACCACCTTAACTCCTTCCCCCTAAAATGGCACATTTTATAAGCAACCTAAATTTATATTAAACAAGAACTTATTGTTAGGGTTTTATTGTTGCTATCTTTTACTTATTGATTTCTAATTTATTGAGATGTGGTCAGAGAATGTCATCTGTATATATGGATTTTTGAAATTTATTGAAAATTACATTTCATGAATGTTATATATGTGCTTGAAATAATGTGTGCTGTTTTGGATGGGATATTTAAGTGCTTATTAGATTAAGCAGATTGCTTATTCATTGTATTTTGAATAATCTATTTTTACTGATATTTCACTGTTTTCTTAATCTATCTTTTCTTATCAAGGCTATACTTACATTCATGTGTTTTTAAGCCAATTTCTTCTTAAAGAGACAAAGTACTTTACTTCAGAACACTCTAAAATAGTGGTTCTCAAATGTTAGTGTATACCAGTATCCCCTGGACCTCTTGGTAAATCACAGATCCCTTATCCCAGAGTTTCTGATTCAGTAGTTCTGTGGTGAGGCCTAGGAATTTGCATTTCTAACAAATTCCTAGGTAATGCTGTTGCTGCCGGTCTGGAACCATTTTTTGAGAACCACTGCCTTAAACTGTTTTTTTTTACCCTGGCTGTTTATTATAATCAACTGGGGGATCTAAAAAAGAAAAATACCAGTGTTATGATCTCAGTTAAATTTAATTACCTCCCCAAAGAGCTTATCTCCAAATCATTCACATTGGGGATTAGGTCTTCAAATATGAATTTTGGGGGATGGGGGATCATTCCAGTCCACAACAGTACCTATAACTATATTATTGCAAAAATGTAATGTTGCATGCATAAAAAGTTTGCATTCTAAAAAACAGAATAAAAATAGAACAAATGGCCATTTTGACATATTGAATAGCATCTGATATAATTAAGTTAATCTCCAGATCCAGTCCTAACTTTTAAAATAAAATTTATATTACAAACCCAAAATCAGTTTAAAATAACAAGCATATAACACAGTGAAATGTAAGCATTTGTTTTGTTTAAAATTACATTGTGTTGCTTTACACATTTGTGAATGAGTATTTGGGAAGTCAAAATACAAGTGTAGACAAAATTAATAAATCAAAAATCTTTGTTGTCAGATTATATAATTTAGTTTTTGTTCAGCATTTGATTTGCTATTAATTTCAAGGATATTGAGTGTACTGACGAAATGAGTGGTAAAGGTTAATCTTTTAAAATAATATCAATTATAAGCATATAGGGAGACTGAACTCCACATATTTATACATACACCTGAAGAGACAGAAATGTTGAATTTGTAGATATTGTTAAATTCTGTCCTAATAAAATATAAATAATAAGTTGTAGTCATTAAGGAGATGATATATTTCAATATCGCTAGAAATCTTAGAAGTTTCATGTATAGATTGACAACACGCAAAAAAAATCAATCAAAATAATTAGAGACCACGCCTCCAGACCACAGCCGTGTCTCTCTGTGCCACTTGCTTTGGACCTCCGTCCTTGACTCAACTAGAAATGGACCCCAACTGCTCCTTTTCCACCGGTGGCTCCTGCACGTGTGCCGGCTCCTGCAAATGCAAGGAGTGCAAATGCACCTCCTGCAAGAAGAGCTGCTGCTCCTGCCGTCCCGCGAGCTGTGCCAAATGTGCCCAGGGCTGCATCTGCAAAGGTGCATCGGACAAGTGCAGTTGATGTGCCTGATGTGGGGGAGCCTGTGCCCGATGTAAATACAGCCATGTGTACACGCCTGCAGTTTTAAAACATTTTTCATAGTACCCTGACCTGTTTGCTACATTCCTGTTTCTATGAAGTACATTAGTTATAGTAAAAATTGTTGAATTTGGTGGAGCAAGATGGCAGAGGATAGGAGACCTGGATTTCGTCTGGTCTCAGGAATTCAGCTGGATAGGGATCAAACCATTCTGAACACCTACAAACTCAACAGGAGATCGAAGAAAAGAATAGCAACAACTCTCTGAACAGAAAAGCGACCGCCTTCTGGAAGGTACGATGTGCGGAGAAGTGAATCCGAGGCGATGTTCTGGAGGATAGATGGCGGCGGAGGGGGCTGCCATCGGCTTGCTTCTGGCAAGTGATAGAGCAGCAGAGCAAAAAATTGGAACTTTTAGAAGTCGGCTCTGCTGAGGGACGTCGCTCCAGTGGCTAAGCAGGGGGTGGAACCCTCGCGGGACACTGTGGTCTCAGGACGCTCGGGGTCAGAGAAAGACTGGGGGTGCCTGAGTGCTGCAGAGCTCCCAGGTATCGGGGCAGGGAAGCTGGCTGCAGAGACGGAGCCGAGGCACGGGCTCTCAGCTCGGGGTTGCAATAAACTGTGATCGGTAAGGCAGTCGGGCCACTGATCCTCCAGCAGGGACCCAACAAGTGGCAGATCTGGGGAGACTCCCCTTCTTCCCCTGGGAGGAGCAGCGCAGGAGTGCACTGCAGGGATTTGCTGGGTTTGGAGACTCCACACCGAGTCGGGTGCCAGAGATAGAAACGCTCAGTCACAGGCCAGGTGAACACAGAGTGTGGCCAGAGACCGGGGAGACGGGAGTGACTGACTGCTTTTCTCTGGGGGCGCACTAAGGAGTGGGGCCCTAAGCTCTTGGCTCCTCCAGGGTGGAGATTGGGAGGCTGCCATGTTCACTCTCCTCCTCCAAATCTGTACGGAAATCTTGCAGGGAACAAAAGCTCCCGAGAGCAAACCCAAGCATATTACTTAGTCCGGACCAAAAGGGGCGGGGCAATTCTGCCTCCTGCAAAGACACTTGGGAACCATGGCAACAGGACCCTCCCCCAGAAGATCAGCAAGAACAGCCAGCCAAGACCAAGTTTACCAATCAATGAGAACGGGAGAACTCCAGCGCTACGGGAATACTACACATAGAATTCATGGCTTTTTTACCATGATTCTTTAATCTTTCAAAGTTAATTTTTTTAACTGTCTTTTTTTTTTAATTTTTCTTTTTCCCTTTTCCAACCAACATCTTATCAATCCCTTTTTTAAAAAACATTTTTATTTTTCATTTTTAGAGTCATATTCTATCCCTTCATAGTAGTTACCCTTATTTTTGGCATATATATATAAGTTGTTCTTTCTTTAAAATTTTGAGATACAGTTTCTTCTAACAGATCAAAATATACCCTAAATCTCTAGTGTATGGCTTTGTTTTAGTCTCCTGCCTGATCACATTCTCTCCCCCCTTTTTTTCTTTTCTTTTCTTTCTTTTTTTAAAATCTTCTTTCTTTTTTCAAACAATTTCTTATCAATTCCTTTCATAAATTTTTTTATAATTTTCATCTTAACAGTCATATTCCATCCCTTCATTGTATCAACCCTTATTTTGTACATATATCAGTCTTTCTTTCTTTAAAATTTTGGGAGGCACTTTCTTCTAACAGACTAAAATACACCCAAAATCTAGTGTGTGGCACTGATCTATGTACCAGCTTGATCATATTTGATCATATTCTTTTTTTTTTGTTTTGTTCTGTTTTTGTTTTTATCTTTATCTTTTTCTTTTATTTTCCTCTCTTTTTTCTTTCTTTGCCTTTCTTTTCCCCTGGTTTCAGGTCTTTTCTGATTTGTTTAGAGTATATTTTCTGGGGACGTTGTTACCCTGTTAGCATTTTGTTTTCTCATCATCTATTCTCCTCTGGACAAAATGACAAGACAGAAAAAAATCACTTCAACAAAAAGAACAAGAGGTAATACCATCTGCCAGGGACCTACTCAATACGGACATTAGTAGAATCATGATTTTAAAGATACTAGCTGGGCTTGAAAAAAGCATGGAAGTTATTAGAGAAACCCTTTCTGGAGAAATAAAAGAACTAAAATCTAACCAAGTCGAAATCAAAAAGGCCATTAATGAGGTGCAATCAAAAATGGGGGCTCTAACTCCAAGGATAAATGAGGCAGAAGAGAGAATCAGCGATATAGAAGACGAAATGATGCAAAATAAAGAAGCTGAGAAAAAGAGAGATAAACAACTACTGGATCACGAGGGCAGAATTCGAGAGATAAGTGATACAAGACAAAACAATATTAGAATAATTGCGATCCCAGAAGAAGAAAGAGAAAGAGGGGAGAAAGTATATTGGAGCAAATTATAACAGAGAACTTCCCTAATGTGGGGAAGGAAACAGGCATCAAAATCCAGGAGGCACAGA